GAGGGGACTTGGAGTGGCTTACAGCAATGTAACAATATAAACAAGGTAAATGAAGGAACTAGACAAGTGCAAAGTGTTAAAGACTATTAATGAATGCCCGTGTCAGGATTATTATATTTCAAATTTCTGTATATAGTTAGGAAAGCCAGACAGTGAAGAAAGCTGAGAAGGAAAGAATGAACATGAGTCTAATGTTTTGGAGAAGAGTTTGACAGATACCATGAACTGCAAAAATGACCAGTGAATGGGTCCAAGAGAAAATCAAGACTAGAAGTCAAAATTATTAAACTGAGGTTATCATATTTTGGGCATATCATAACTCAATAGAAAATATGATAATGTAGGAAATGTGAGAGACACTAGAAAAAAAAAGAAAGACTACATTCCAGGTAGAAAAGTAAATCAAGGAAACCAAAGTCCTGAGTTTGCAAGACCTGAATGGGGCACTCAATGACACCATGTCATGGAGGGCTCTCATTCATAGGCTTGCCACAAACTAAACCTGATGATATCAATTAACAACAGCACATCAAACTTACAATAACGATAGAGTTTATTTGAGGGGTAAGAGAGAGGAAGAGAGTGTAATACACACATACCAAATTAAAATCAAGTAGTCAGTTTAATATCTACTTTGTTTTACCAACCTGAAAGGAGTCTCAGAAAGTCCTCCTCCAATAAGAGACTATTAAGTTCCAAGGAGTAAACTCACTCCTATTTTTATGGCAATGTTCAGTAAACCCGGTTCCTTTTGTGAATACTACTGATTTGGCACATATTGGGATAACTTCCTTTTTTAAGATTAATGGTCTAGATAACAAATATGAAAATTACTTAGTGTCTGAAGCTAAACTCCTTAAGACGCTAAACCTTTATCTCTGAAAAGCTGGCCCACAGAGACCAGGAGGACTGTTCTCTAAAAGAAGATGTATTCCAAAGGTAAATAAAGTTCAGCCTACTGACATCTAACACTCAAACTCTCCCCATCTCCCACCCAAACCCCCCACAATTTTTGAAGTTCCAAGATCTTTCAGCACCCCAATTTTTGCCCCCAAATGTCCTCCTTTCTCCTTGGAGATATGGATGCCATTATAATCTTTTTTAATGGGTCTCTGGCCATTTTAAGTCTCTGTGTGTGTCCTGATGTGGACAAGAAATAGAATAGCACAGGTATAAACTTACTGGCCAACTTGGTGCCAACTTACCGGGTGCTCTAGAGGGTACATTTGCAAAATGTCAAAGTTGGTTACACCTGATATTAATAAATAATGAGCATACAAAGGGATTTTATAACATCTTTGAGGCCAACTGAGAGGCAAAAGCTTCCATATACACATCTGAGGAAGTAAATTCATTTATGAAAGCTTATGGCACCAACTTTGTTCTCTCAGTTACTCTTGAAGGTGCTACAAAGTCCCTTTGCATACTGGTATTCCAGACTAACATGGTTCTGTCTTTGAATTCTTCCCACGCTGATGGGAAAAGTTACTGTATTATGATCCTTGAAACTGAAATAAACGTGTCACAGAAGACAGGGAATTAATGTTGTTGACTGATATCATTTCATCTTGAGCCTCCAGAAATTTGTGCTTTTCTTAAAGCCACATTTCTCAAGCTCTAGGAGCAGGGAAAATCCTCAGACAATAGCCAGAGCCCATACTTTTGTAGAGGGCCAACTGCTGATTCTAAGGGGCTCCTGGCCATATTCCTCCATGTGTTGTTGCAAGCTCACTTGCACTTTCCCACTAGAGACAAGAGTCGGTAGAAGGTGTAAAAGTCTCCATGCATTACCTCTCCCCTTCATGGGATAGCATGAATTGCACCCTGAAATAGGGGCACCAAGGATTGTGAGAGTACCAAAAGTGACAAGGAGTTGAACATCTTGCCTAAAGGACTCACAGAATCTTGATTCACCTCTGCACATATCAAAATGGGACTTTCAGTGCAGCTACTTTCACGTATTACATTTATTTATGTACTCTTAAGATGTTCTTAACTGTAAACCTTTAAAAACCTAACATGTGGCTATGTCACATTTGTTGATACTCAAATTATGGAGTTGGGATAAGGTGGGGCCACTGGAAAGGGCTCCTCATGTCAAGAGCCTCCCAGGTCCTGAAATTTCCAGGCCAAATCCTCAGAGTTTCTGAGCAATTACCCCTCAGTGGTGTCATTTCTCTCTCTCTCACACACACAAACACACACACGGGGGGGGGGGGGGGGGGGGGATTTTATTCTTTGGAAATCATAGCTTAAAAGGCTAGTTTCAGATGACGGAGAAGTGAGGGGATTATTCCCTCACACCTACATACAGAAAATGAATAATGAACATTTATTTTAACAGTAAAAGAAAAATAGCATACAAATTGCATCAAATCAAGACTGACCTTTGGAAACTGAAATCAATTAGAATTTGCAAATTGCAGCCAGCAAGCTTTATGGCAAGCTAAAAGAGCAGAGAGCTTCTTTTTTAAAAAGACTATAGAAAAGGAAAGGGGAGGAAAGAAGGAGTGCATGCCTGGCAACATGCTCTTTATGCTAGATTTGCACACAGGCTTTGCCTCTCACCTGGAGTTGGCCACATAAAAAACAGGAGAGTTTCAGACCTGCTTCCTACCTGAAGTTGACCCATGAAAAATGCAACCTCCACGTGGAGGCCTGAGATTCCACAATACTGTGTTCTGTACTTTTCATGGTTATGTAGAAGGGGGACTTTCAGCAGGTGTTGACGGCCATACAACCAACCTGGTGAAATTCTTGCTTCCGTACAGACATTAAAGGTACAATACCACACCTGGAATACTTTGTCCAATTCTAGACACTGCAATTGAAGGGAGATGTTGAGAAGCTGGAATGTGTCCAGAGGAGGGGGACTAAAATGATCAAGGGTCTGGAGAACAAGCCCTATGAGGAGCATCTTAAAGAGCTGGGCATGTTTAGCTTGCAGAAGAGAAGGCTGACATGATGGGGGCTGTGTATAAATGATGGGGCTGTGTATAAATATGTGAGGGGAAATCATAGAGAGGAGGGAGCAAGCTTGTTTTCTGCTGCCCTGGAGACTAGGACACTGAACAATAGCTTCAAACTACAGGAAAGGAGATTCCACCTGAACTTCCTAACTGTGAGAGCTGTTCAGCAGTGGAACTCTCTGCCCCAGAGTGTGTTGGAGGCTTCTTTGGAGGCTTTTAAACTGAGGTTGAATGGCCATCTGTTGGTGGTGCTTTAAATACAGCTTTCCTGCTTCTTGGCAGAGGGTGGGACTGGATGGCCCACGAGGTCTCTTCCAACTCTATGACTCTAAAAGCTCTTTCCAGCTTTCACTACAACAACCTTGTTACCTAATGTGTAAAACAACAGACAAGGGTTCATTTCTGATTGCTTGTTTGCTGGGAATGATTGTAAAAGTCTTCCACAGAAAGCCCTGACATGAGGAATGCTGCAGAAGAGGTGATGTTTATAAGAGCCACGGGAGTATGAGCACCCTTTGAGGATGCCTGCCATAGATGCAGACAAAATGTCAGGAGAGAATGCTTCCGGAACATGGCCATACAGCCCAAAAAGCTTACAACAACCCAGTGATTCCGGCCATGAAAGCCTTTAACCAACACACCCTTGTGCAGTTTTCATGGTTTCTATGTTCCTTTTTTGCTTCAGATGGTGAGATTCAGCTTCAAGTTGACACATACATACAATGAGATGGAGCTCACCCGCCCTTCTCCAGTATATTTACTGCTTCCCCAAGCCCTGGCTCGTGCCTTCACTCTGTTTTTATAGCTGACAGCAAGCCCTCTGTGATGATTGATAATCGCTAGTTGTGTAATGGACATCATAAGACTGCAGGGACTTCTTAGGAAAAATGAATCAGTCAAATGCAATTGGCCACGTGGGACATCGCCTAGAATAGGGCCCGATGGCTCTGGATTTGTATTTGTTTTTGTGAGGTCAGCTAAGCCGAAGCCCTGGCACTTAAAGTGTGTTTGTGTATCTATGCTTGAGACTGGGGCAGATCTCAAAGAAAAATGTTACAGCTGAACTGTGCAAAGACCAGGCAGGAATGCATTCCTGGAGTGATGGACTGCTGAAGTTCCTCTCAGGGGCATAATTGCAAGATAACTCAGGAAAATATAGCCTTGTCCATAAAATTCTCATTCCTGATACCCTTCCTCCAGCTTCAGGGGTAAAGGTCTTCTCTTCCTCAGATGGACATAATTTTGCCACCTCATCTGACTTTGATGATGAGCAGACATTAATATCAGCTGTGCTATTAAAAACTAAAATCTATTAAAGATATTGCTTTCTTCCTCTAAGTCAGAGCTCCCAGCCCCAGAAATCCCATTACTCACATGTGAAACAGAATACTTTGGGGTATCTCAAGGTTCAAAGGAAGTGGGAAATCTACATTTTAGTAGGGGGCACTTTCCACCCCACAAGAGAGAATTGCAATATCTCTCTTCTGCTTCCAATATGATTTTTGTCAGAAAAATCTAAAAACCTCTGCACAATTTCTTCTTTGTACTCTCCCACCAGATATCACACCTTCAAAAGACTAGCAGCTCAGAAGATATATCTCCCCCCACACACATATATACACATCCTGTAGAAAAGCAAGCAACGTCCTTTATCAGCAGAACAGGAGTCAAAGATTCCTTGACCAGGTTCACTCTGCCATGTCATGTCGACATTAGCATCTCAGCCTATGCTCTTGGTTGACTCGCCACCACACACACTCATCTTAACAAGGAGATAGTGACAAGGACCCTGTGATGTACACTGCCTTATCCTCAGTCAGCTGAGCCATTCTAGATGCTGTTGTCACATAATAATGGCCTCCAGCCTCAAAAAAGGTAGGTAGCCCTGCTATGGCTTGGTTTAGATGCCTGAAATGTGAACAGGGCCTTGGCTGCACTTCCAGATTCCTTGGCACAGTTGCAACCTGGCAGAGAATGTAATCAGCCCATCTGACAGCACAGAAACTGTGAGAACCTAGGTATACCACTTACCAGTGGGCACTGTGGGGCAACTCCTGGTTCAACTTGGCAATTTTCTCTTGCTTTTTTTTCTGGCTACTGGAGAGGATGTCCCCGTGAGACTCTATACTGATGTGATATTTTTAAAAATGAAAGTCGATTGCAGGCAAGTTATAAGGGTTCCTTCTCTCCGCCCTCTTGACTGGCCACCTGCCAACAAACAGCTGTTGGAGGGAGATAAGGGGTGGTGCCCTCTGCTTCTCTTTCCTGGAAAGCTGAAGGTTTGTACTTGTAGCAAAGCTTGGGTCTGCAAGGAAGGTGGGATGCTGCCACTCACAAAAGCCACATGTATGTCATCATCAGGCATCAAGGGCATCCCCATGTTTCCTGTGAAATCCAGCAAACTGGGGCGTTTCTCCCTCTTCTCTTTGGTTTCACTGCCTTTCTGCAGATACGGCACAACCCCTGTATTCATGGGGCCATTGTACATGGTTTCATTTATCCACTTCCAACGGAATATGACCTCGCTAGGCATTATCTAGATCCTCCAGTGTAACGATGGTATTATCTGATTTTGTGTCTAGGAACACATTTGCTGGGCATATTGGGGGTGGGGGGTTGGCAAACTGTACTTGTTAGAACTTTATAATGGTGCTGTTCAGAGTACTGGGCTATGGACTGCTGGAGGTTCACGGGCAATCTGTTGCCGGGGTCTGGAGAATTTCCAAGAAGGAAGGAAAGAAAGAATTGTAGATGACAACAGCACAGAGAGGGTACTGAGAGGGTGTTGCTACTGGGGTGTGGGAAATTGCCCCCCAAATATGAAACCTACCCTCACAAAATGAAATTTCCCTCATCCAATTTCTATCATTGCAATAATTTAAGACTTCAGTTGAATATTTAAAAATACAATTTGGAAAATGGGCAAGCAAAGGAAGCCACAGAGTGTGAACACAGGAAATAGAAGAGTTCTAAGCATTAACAATTCTCACTGGTTCACACTGCAATGCTAAAAATTTCGGAACTGAAATATAATTTCATGTGGGGAGGTAGAATTCTTATTTGGAGGGGTACTGCCCTCGTTTTGTTGCCTCTAACTACAAATGCTAGTACGGTCCCTGGAATATTAAGGGGAAAGACTGCCAGTCCTTGACATCAGATAGCTTTAAAAACATTGGTTTACAACACAATGTCTGAGAAAACACTGCCTTGTTCTCATTCAGCAGTCAGACCCAAACAACTTCTCTCTAGTGCACATATGGTGGTCGATGGAAGGCAGGCGGGTGCTTTTGCAAAAACAGAGCACACAGCCCTCAGCTCAGCCATTCTACATTCATCCCTCTGGAAATTGCACTCTCGTAAAACAACTACTATTTATCTTTTATACAGTGCCATCAATGTGCACAGCACTTTGCAGAGAAAAGTAGAAGAGAGTCCCTGCTGAAAAGAGCTTACAAGTCAAGCAAGGCAAAGAGACAATGAGAAGGGAAGAAGTGAGTCTGCATAACCAGGTAGCTACACAGGCTCTTGGCTTCCAGGCCTGTCTAGGAGTATGAATAGGGCAAGGGGAATGTGGTTTAGAGTAGTTTTGTCAAAGGTGTGAGCTCTGAGGAAGGAGGCAAAATAGAAATGGCAAAGTTTATACAGGATAGTTCAAGTTTGAAAGACAACTTGGAAGAAGGGAACTTTGTTAATTTGATCCACCATCCAAAAAACAAAAAAAACAAAAAAAAAACCCCAGTGTTCTGGGTATTGGTATTTACTAAGCCTGATGCTAAGGTGGCATCATGAAAGTGTGCCCTCAAGTCACTTAAAGATCCATCATGGGACACAGAAGAAATATTTCATGGTGCAGGACTGAGAATTCCATTGATAACTATTTTGTGATTGCTATAGCAACAGACGTTCCCCTTCCCCTGCAAGGACACATTTTCTGAAGCTTGACCTTCCAGTGACAGAAGTGAGAGTCAATAATTATTTTTCAGGTATTATTGGACTTCATTTCCCAGCAGCTCTAGCCAGCATAACCAATGATGTCGAATTCTGGGAGCTGAAGTCCAACAACGTCGGAAAGGGCATTTGATTCCCATTCTTGTATTGTGGTCTGTTTGATGAAGGAAAAATTGAAAACTTTGGGAGAATGTGCTGCTGTTTAATAGTCATTTTACTGACTTTTAGAAGCATTTGCAGGGCTGGGAAACTCTTGATTGTTCTGATGTCCATGAGCTCCCATCAATCCTTGACTATCAAGTAAGCTTGACAGAGATTAAGAGCACTGGCATCTTGAGGGACACATACTCCCCACCCTGGTGCTATTACCATGAGCAGAACCATTTGATAATGGACTCAAATCAAGACCTTGCCTTACTACGTATTAGGCAAATTGTGGTGGTGGCGCTCTCAAACATCAGATTTTGGGAGGTGAAGAATGGTGAGACATTGGATAATAGAGCTATGGATGTTCTACAGTGGTTCTGCTAATAAGTCTGGGTTTCTTTTATCTGGTCCCAACCTTTTCCTGCAGTGGGGATTACAGACAAAGAAACATGTCTGTGCAGTGGACATTCCTCTGATGGAGATAAGAAATGGCTGCAAATGTCTCCCAATAATGGATGGGTCTCAGGAAGCTTTACCAAAAGTAACAAAAGAAACCTGTGGCAGCAGCTTTCATGGACAGCAGTTCACTTTCATCAGATGTGTGAAGTGTTACCCAAAATTTCAGAAGAAACAGTATACCTTCACAAAATTTTCCTCTCCTCTTCACCATGGTTTTCAAAGGCTATGGTGGTGGCTACCAAGTTCTGACAAATTATAGCAAGCTTGCAAGACTTCATGTATGGCCCTAGCAGTACCACCCAACAGCCACCCTTCTAAGCACAGATAGGCTCAGCAGCAGCAGCAAAGAGTCACTAGCAACTATGCGATCCTGGAAAGACTAGTAATGTCATATGTCTCCCAAATATATAGATCATTGACATGTTTGTGGATGTGACAATAAAGCAGTGACATCAGAGGGAAATTGATTGCAGGAAGTAACAATACCAATTGTCTTCTTTCCATTAGCCATTTGTAAAACTGCTGCTGATATACACAAACATTACAGCATTTGGTGAGCCAGCTAACATATGTTGGTCTATATCCTTTGGAGTAGATCTATTTAATCAATGGGATTGACTAAACCATTGGTTCAGAGGGTATATTAACTTGAGCTAACCAATAGGACTTAGGTCATTGTGTAGTAAGAAACTGTGACTTATAATTCAAACTTATAGTGATCATTACAAGTTTCCTTTTTGGAACAGGCCACAGAGAAGGCAAAGAAAAGTGGTGGTCCTTTGCTGAGGAAAAGGATGAATTGTGTATGGGAACAGCAAAGAGGTCACTATCACTGCTTTTTTGTAGAGCTGCTCTTTATCTTGTGAGCTTCCTTCTGACGAAGGACAGTCCTGCCAGCAGGCAAGGGGAGGACATGCTGTCTGTGCAAATGTGTTCTGTGCTGGAGAATGGGGGGGGGGGGGGGGGGGGGGGGGGAGAGAGATAGTTTAATGAATAATGAAACATATTTGAGGCATTGGTGACAGCTGGGCAGAGGTTCAACGGCAGAGACTGCCACAAGCTGTCTCTGGGCAGCAGCCTCTCAGTGACCGACAAGGGCGAGCACAAGACCTGACAACAGCTTTTCTGGAAATGCACTTGCTTTCATCCTGAGTTTCAAGCAACAGCGATGAGCGATGGGACATGCTCTGCCATCTCCCACCCTGTCCAGTCAGCCTCAGGAAACCTGCTTTCTCCTTCCACTGTCAATGTTTTGCTTTTTCTACATGCTGGAGAGAAATGGTTAGTGGGCCAACCCAAGAGTGGGGTTAAAATTAAATTATTTATTTATTTGCGGCATTTATAGCTCATCTTTCTCAACCCTAAGGCGACTCAGGGCCTTCTGTGCACCTTAGCAATGTAGCTCCCAAATGAATTCAAAATGCAAAACTGACCTCTTAAATTTTTAGATGTTATGAAATTGAAACCTCCACCTTAGCCAACTTTAAGGAAACAATGGTACATTTCTTGTTTTGAGAATTTGTTGTGTGTGCTTTCGAGTAAATTCTGAATTATGGCAAAGTTTATTCAGAGGTTTGCCATTGCTTTATCTTAGGCTGGGAGAATGTGACTTGCCAAAGGTCACCCAGTGGTTTTCAAATCCTGATCTCCTAGAGTCTTAGCACATCTACACTGACCACCGAGGTCAGTGTGAAACTGGCAGAAAAGGAAGCAATTTCACTGTATAAATGATTACATGTGAAATCCTGGAACCGGTTCCAGGCCTGGATAGTAATTATACACACCACAAAGGCTGGCCTCAAATTAGTACAGAGCAATGGAAGTTTTTTCCCTCACTTCCCTCTCCCTCAATGAATTAGATCTACAACATAGGTGTTTTATAACATTGTCACCTACAAAGCAGTAAACAATTTACTCTGGGTTTTAGCCATTAGCTATGTTTGTGTGCATCAGCATGCACGCAGACACCCACATACACCATGTGCATACAAAAATAGCTAGGACAAAAAAAGTCCCAACTAATCAACATACCCAGGTGTACAGTTGTTCTCAACCATAACTTCTTTCCACTTAACTTGGGCACAAATGCTTGGCTGGAGGTGGGGAAAGAGAAGATCCTAGTAACCTCCTGGAGCTGAAAACCAAGGATGGGCAATCCATAACTTATAACTTAATACTGTTAGCTACTATTTTAAATACAGACAAGGGTAAATCATATCAGGTCGGTAGCACATGAATTAAAAAAACTAATGAAGAAAAGCAGCAACTGCTGCAATGGAAAAATAATGTGGTCCAGGCTGACTAGATTAACATGGAGGGGTTAGCCAAATTGTGGTGCCATCTCAAGAAGGGCGTTTCAGCAGTTATTGAATGCAAATTACACCATCTTTCATTATTGGCTAATAGGAACTGCAAATCAACATGGAGAGAACTACAGATTTCCTAGCCCTGCTATACATCTACCTGTATATCTATCTGACTTATTTTCTTCTTTTATCAGCTAGAAGTAACTTTCTTCTGCTAATCTGTAGTTCTTCGTAGCCATTTCCTCCTGGGGACAATGTTTAATTCCAGCAGATTATAAATGTAGAGTTCCATTTTCATCCTAATCTTCATTGATAATTGAAATCAGTGTGCTCACCGTGGGAGCGACACATAAGCTAAGGTCAGCCATATTTCTCAGGGTGCCCAATGACATTGATAAGGGGGAGTCCATACAAACACATCTCAACCATGGTCTCCTACTATGGAATTGATGAAAACTAGGGCTGAAATATATATCTAGGCAGCAAGTACAGTTACTTTAAAAAATCAATTGCTGTGAAATCTAATTGGGGGTTCTTTATTTGGTATAGTGTACAATATTATCCCCACCCCAATAATTAAATG